GGGAAGCAGCGAGCAGACCTCAAACCTCGGGGAAGGTAGGGGAGGGCGGGGCATAAGGAGGGAGAGCAGCCACAGGGCTTGTGTGCATCCATGTAAGTCCACACAGTCTTGAACCTAAACCGCCGCCATTCTATGGTGAACTGACTGGCAGACTCACCAGGGGATTGGCTCCAGGGAGGCAGCCCGCAAGCTTGTCTCAGGCAGCTCGGACCCGAGCCTGACTTCACACCATGAGGCCGGCCCAGATGCTGAGCCTTTCCTGCCAGTCCCTCCTGCCCTGCCGCTCCCCCCCCCCCCCCCCCCCAGGGGCCGGTTTCCTGCTGCTCAGGCCCCTGCTGCGCCTGATCCAGTCAGTCACAGCGAGGACAGCTGCTCGAGGCGAAGGGCAGACGGTGCGGCTGCAGGCGCCCCTCCTCCCCGCGCTGGCAGCACGGTCTCTCACAGCACAGGCGGGGCCTGGCCGTGTGGACGCCGCGCTCCGTGTCCGGACATGGAGCGGTGTTTCGCCCAATGGCGGCCTCGGGGCCCTGCCTGCTCCTGACGTTGGGGTCCCAGGCAGGCCCTCCGGGGGGCAGGGGCTGGGCAGTCAACCAACCTCTGTCCCAATGGCACTTTAAATGGTGTGTCAGCCTGGTCTTTGGGATAACCTCTTTTTTGTTATTTTTTTTTTAAAGATATTTTTTGCCCTAACTGGTTTGGCTCAGTGGATAGAGCGTCGGTCTGCAGACCGAAGGGTCTCAGGTTCAATTCTGGTCAAGGGCATGTACCTTGGTTGCAGGCACATCCCCGGTAGGGGGTGTGCAAGAGGCAGCTGGTCAATGTTTCTCTCTCATCGATGTTTCTAACTCTCTATCCCTCTCCCTTCCTCTCTGTAAAAAATCAATAAAGTATATTTTAAAAAAACAATTCTTTAAAAATATTTTTTTTATTGATCTCAGAGAGGAAGGGAGAGGGAGAGATAGAAACATCAATGATGAGAATCGCTGATGGGCTGCCTCCTGCACACCCCTTACTGCAACCCGGCCATGAGCCCTGACGGACGGGAACCATGACCAGCTGTGGCCGACACAGCCACCGGCTCAAAGACCCAGGCCGGGCTGCCATGCCCGGCCTGTGGGGACCTCGTTGGCCACCGGGAGGAAGGACACGGGGCTGGCAGAGGCGTGGCCGACCCCCTCAGGCCCAGCAGCCCTCACCCCTCTGTCACCGGACGAGGCTGCGGGAGGAGCTGGTTTCCTCCTGCGCCCCTGGGCGGTGAGGAGTCTTCATGGAGGAGCCGCTGCAGAGGGCGTCGAAGTGCAAAGGGAGCCAGGCCAAGGGTGCAGTTCCCAGGCCTGAGGCCAGAGGGCGATGGCCCCTCCTCACTCACAGAGCACCAGCTCAGTCCTGAACACCCGTCTCCGGGGCGCCTCCGGAGGCTCCGGTGAGGGAGCCTGGCCGCACAGGGTGGTGCCGGGCTGAGCCTGGCGCTCGGGAAGCATCTGGAAAGGCCGGCCGCAGCAGGAGGCCGTGTTTGAGGGTCCTCGGCGGCCCCGTCAGCATCCACCCGCCGGCCAGGCTGCTCCCCGCCGGGCCGGCCGCACAGCAGCCGGCACCTCGCCTCCTGCTCCCAGGCCAGCGCCCCGGTGGCGGTGTAAGCCCTTAGGACGGCATCACCCCACCTCCCCGCCAGCCCCGCCGTGGGTGCCGGCCGGTGCTGCGGGCGGCAGGGGCACCTCCGGGCCGCCCTGGGAGGCAGGCCGCGGCCCTGGGACCGGGGATCCTGCGGGGGAACCGAGAGGGCGGAGCTGGCACCGAGTCCACATGTGACCGCCGAAGCCCCTGTGGCTCCCCTGACTGAACGACCCGCTCCTTCACTTTGGGGAAAGAGGTCTGCGAGAGGCTGTGAGGCTGTGGACACGGCTCCCGGAGGGACACACACACACGCGCGCACACACACACACACGGCTCCCGGGGACACACACACACACACACACACACACACACGCATGGCTCCCGGGGACACACACACACACACACACACACACACACACACACGGCTCCCAGGGACACACACACACACACACACACACACACACACACGGCTCCCGGGGACACACACACACACACACACACACACACACGGCTCCCGGGGGGACACGGTGGGTTGTGAGGTGTCGCTCCAGCTCAGCTGGAACGTGTTTCCAGAATTAACAAGTTTGCTTGGTCTAGGGAAGCTGTGGGAGCGGGAGGGGCAGGAAGTGCAGTCACACTCAGCAGGTGCAGGGACGGCCAGGCCGCACGGCCCCCCATCAGGTTCTCCTCCCGGCCCCGCCCTGGAAGGTGGAGGCGGGGCGAGGCGGTGTGGGCTGCGGACACCTCCAGGGGCCCCGCTCCTCCTCCTGGGCTCCCACTGCATCCCTCCCTCCCTGCCCAGCCCGGGGTGGGCTAGTGGAGGCCGCTCACCAGCCCGGGCACTCAGGTCCCGCCCTCCAGACCCCGATGTCACTCTGAGGTCCCACCACCCCTCTGGGCACGCAGAATGAGTTCGTGGGTGTTGAGTTAAATAAATAAAGAAGCATTTGAATAAATTAATATTTTGGTTGCTTTAGGCTTTAAATTTCAGAAGTAAAATCAGGGGAACTCCTTTTTTCCGATCTTCTCTAAAGGATAAATTAATGAGTATTAAAACGGGTTCTCCCAAAGGGGCCCTATGTTCGCAGCTTTAAAAAATGAAAACGGGTGCCCTGGCTGGTTTGGCTCAGTGGATAGAGTGTCGACCTGCGGACTGAAGGGTTTCGAGTCCGATTCCAGCCAAGGTCACGTACCTCAGTGGCAGCGTCGGTTCAATCCCTGGCCCCGTGAGGGATCGGATGGGAGGCAACCAACTGGTGTGGGTCTTTCACGTCAATGTTCCTCTCCCCCTCCTTTCCATCCTCTAAAAACCAATAGAAAAATATCCTCAGGTGAGGATTAACAACAACAACAAATAATGAAAGTAAATAAAATAAAAAGTGGTGAGAGCTCTGGCCTGAGCACCGAAGAGTCATGGGTTTGATTCCCGTCAAGGACGAGTGCTTGGTTGTAGGCTCCATCCTGGACCCCTGCCAGGTATGTGCAACCAGTAGGTGTGTCTCTCTCACATCGATGTTTCTCTCTCCCCCTTCCATTCTCTCTCTGAAAAGCAATGAAAAACAGTATCCTTGGGTGAGGATAAGTAAATAACACAATGGCTCACCGTGTGGCGATTGGATTATAATTGATACTGAGTTGATGGTAAAGGGGCTGTGACTTTTTGTGTGATTGGCACCCTCTCCCTGGGGGCAGCGAGGAGGCGGGGCAGTCCCAGCAGGAGGGACCGCCAGAGTCTGCCTCAGCGGGGCCTCTGCGGAATGTGAGGTGCAGGAACGACTGGCTGGGCAGCCACGGGCCTATCAGGAAATCTAAGCTCATGTTATGTCCAGCTGGAAAGCCAGCCAACAAAACAAAAGTAGGTGCAGAACTGCAGTTTGAAATGAAATTGGAAGGTGAGGTAGTCAAGGGGTTGCTCAAGGTGACGGAGAAACTGAAGGCGAGGTCCCTGTCCTGCCCGTAGGTCTCATTTGATCCTCCAAACATCAGACAGCCGAGTGGAGCAGCTACCACCGCCCCCTTAGTGAACCCAGCTTTTCAGTTCTTCCCAGTGAGTCATCCTGTAGCACGGGGCCAGGATTACTCTTCCTGGGGCGGAGAGCAGGCCTGGGGGAGGCAGCCTGGACGTGCAGCCCGCTCTGCAAAGACAGGGACTTTGGGGTGAGGCCTGGCCCTAATCTGGCCAGGGAGCGAGGGACTCGCCCGTGAGCCAGCCTGCCCCCGCAGCGGGGCCGGCCCTGCTCCGAGAGGGGTCTGTGGAGGCCCAGCCGGCCGGGCTGGTCATTCTGTTTCACTTTGCTTTCCTTCCAGCAGTTACATAACAGCCCTTTTCATATTTCAAAACAAAGTAATTTGGTTCACATTCATCTGATCTTTACAAGTCTAGCTTTTCAAGGTCTTTTTCTATGTTTCAGACCTTTACCCAGCTATTGGCCCCCTCACTCCAACACCAAGCCTGCTGAAGGAGCACGGAGGAGAAGGTGATTATTCACACCAGAATAGAACACAACAACAAAAACCACAAGTAAAATATATAAAAATCTTAATTTTAATACATTAGTCTAGGAAAATCTATAAATCTGTTTTGAAACCACTATCTTTTCTTATTTAAAAAATTCTAGCAATTTTTCTATTTGATTTTCCTGCACATGATTACAATCACTTCCGGGTCTCGTGAATTTTCCAGGCTGCACACGGGCTCAGGGCAAACCGGTTTGGCTAGTGAGAGAGGCTTGGCACAGCTCACCACCCTCCCCAGCATCTATTTCCCGAATCCCCAAGGACCTGACCCCGTGGGGGCTGGCAGTCAGGAACAGCTGGGTCAGGGTTGAGGGCCACTTGGCCTTTTCTCCGAGGGCAATTCTAACGTTTGGGCAGATGCCTGGCTTCTGCGGAGAGCCTCGTCCAAGAACATTATGGTCTCAACTCCTGCTGGCTTCAGGCTAGGACCTTAACCCCAGACACCTCCCAGGCACAGCGGGCAGGGCACATAGCTCCTGCCATGCTTAGACGGTCCCTGGTTCTCAGCCCTGAGGATGAGAGGGGAGAGCAGCAGTTTGGCCTCAGGCCGCCGTAGGTTTGTCTTCCGGGTCTAGCCCAGGCTGCCTGGGATCGTTAAGCTGATGAGAGCCTGTTTCCTCAAATATAAAGTGGGAATGACTGGCTGCCGGAGGCGGCGATGCTGTGATGCGCACGCTCAGTGCCTGGCAGGCAGCGCCCGGTGAACGGTAGTTAGCACCAGGGACAGGCAGACAGGCAGCGCTGACAGGGCAGTGCCCAGAGCGGGGAGTGGGGCCTCAGGAGCCACCCCCCGGAGGCCGCCCGGGCGCCCCGGGGCGCTCCTGTTGAAGGTGCTGACGAGAACACACACAGGACATGCAAACCAAACGTGGAGCATGCAGGACCTTTTTATTTAGTCTTTATTTTAAATGTGTGCTTTTGAAATAGTTTATTAAATATGACCTTTCAAAATTCAATTCTCACAATATTTACAGTGAATTTTGTGCAAGCATATATTGACTGTGAGCTTCTGGCTCCCTCTTTCACATTAATAATTTACAAACCTGTATTACAACAAACCCCCGCTACCTCACTTACTGTCTCTTGAGCCTCGTTTTGTTTGACAGGAACCAAACTAGGAGAAGGGGTTGCTAGGTAAGAGCTAATTCAAATCCAGAGAAAATAAAATGTTTTACTTATCAAAAAGGATTAAACCAAGACCTTGATTTCAATTGAAAACATGTGTCCCATGATGCTGTGGGACAGTATTTAAGCAACCAAATAAATTGCAATGGTTATTGTGCTTTTGTTTTTAAAAATATATTTACACTCATCTCTTCTAACCAAATAAGCAAACTCAGAAAAGCAAACTCTAACAGACTTTGGGCTGTCTGGGAATGTTCTAAACGCAATTAGACTAAAGAATGAAGGGCATCAGATGGGCTGCCGGCTGACCCTCCCGCCCAGCATCGCCCGGAGGCCCCGGCCACACCCCCTGCCTGAGGGCCCCACGCTGCGCCCCAGCCGAGGAGGGCGAAACCCTGCCAGGTACCGCTCTGGGTGGAGAAACATCTGGTTGAAGAACACAACACCCAATATTGTAAGAAGTAAAGGTTCCTACAGAAGACAATAGGTGCAAGAGAATATTTGGGACCAACATTTTATAATTTTTCTACCTTTTTACTGAATACTTTACTAGGAAATTAAGAGTGACAGCTTATTAGAAAATAAACTGAATAATTTTTTAGTCATTTGACACTTTTTTATGCATTTAATAATTTGTCCTCCCAATGACAATGTTCCTTTATTTATAAAAATGGTTTAAAGACCTGTGTGACCCTTTGTACACCCTAGGTATCCTAATGCAATGATTCCTACTCTGAAACACTTTCACCACAAAGCATGTTCTCCGTGATAAAAATTATGAATGAAATATTCCAAATGTTCATGAATGCTATGGAAGTCAGTGTGAAACATCCATGACTATAGCTGGAACTATGGTTTTGAATCACCTGTTCGGAAGTTTTCAAGTGAGCAAGCAGGTCACACCATCCAGTCCGCTGTGCCCCTGTGCCCTTGGGAATCCTTGGTCCTGAGCCATCCCTCCGGCAGGCAGGCGGGGTCGGCAGCGGGAGGTGCCAGGAGTCAGAGAGCTGAGGACACCCCTGTGCTGGAATGCGGGACAGTGAGCAGAAAGGAGGGCTGAGCAGGGGGTTGGGCATCGATTTCCTACGAAGTCAGGAACCGCCAATTAGCGTTAAAAGACACAGGCAGGGAACAAGAATATCTAGTGGCTGACACACGGATCTTATTTTCTCAGACCTGTCAGTGCCTTAGGGAATCTGCCCAAGTGCAGGTACGTCAAACATCTTGTGCCTCCTGCCCAGCAATCCCACCTCTTTGAGGATTCAGTGACCCATCACTTGGGCTTCTCCTTAGGGGCTCATAGGGACTGGGAGCTCAGGGTTGCTTTTCAGCAACAAAAACGTTACAATTGCTTTTATTAATAGCTCTGATTTCACATAATTACAGACTTGATTAAACTCAATATATAATTCCAGGTTAGTTTCTTTCCACCCAAATGTTCACATTCCATCTACACTGCTCAGTGGGCTGAGCAGAGCAGGCACCTCTCAGGACCCGGTGAGGCTTCAGGGGGCCGCTTTCTTCAGGTCGCGGATCTGTTTGATCAAGTAGTTCTTCTCGTCAGTGAACTGCTCATCGTCCGTCCTTTCTTTCTGGAAGCTGCTCAGAAACTCAATGAGCTTGGGTTGATTTTTTAACAGAATCTCCACAATAGGCTGTGTTTTGTGAGGACTGGCCACAAATACCTGAAACATAAATAAATATGGAGAAAAGCAATGCACACCAGGGCCAGCACGGACCCTACGTGTTCATGTGGTGCCTGTGCTAGTATACTATAGAAAGCTGGGCCACACTTCATTAGGAAAATCTTAATTCCCCATTCATATCCATTTCCTATACATTACATAAAACTATATTTGATATATTTAAAATGGTATCTTATATTTACCTATTTATCTATAGCTCTGGGCTCTCTCATGCTCTCTCTCACACTTCAAAATGCAGAGTGTTTCACCACCAGCCCCCTGCCCCTGCCTCCACATCGTGTTCCTCCAACAGTGCACTCTACGCTCAACATGCTAGGAACAGGATCGCTTATGACACTGGGGGTCACAAGGTTGAGCCCTAAAGGACCCCCCAACCCAGCAGTTATGGGGAGGGAGAAAACTATTAATACACAAAGATGTTAAGGACCACCTGGCCAGTGTGGCTCAGTGGTTGAGCATCAACCTCTGAACCAGGAGGTCATGGTTCGATTCCAGGTTAGGACACATGCCTAGGCTGCAGGCTTGATTCCCAGGGCAGGGCATGCAGGAGGCGGCTGATCAATGATTCTCTCTCATCACTGATGTTTCTATCTCTCCCCTTTCCTCTCTGAAATCAATAAAAATATAATTTTTTAAAAAGATGATAAGAACCAATGAGGTTCAGAAAGGCTGCAGAGATTCAAAGCAGAGGAGATTACATCAGGCTTCTGCATTTGGAACGGGAAGGGCTGGTGGTGTAGGCCAGTGGTCGCCAACCTGTGGACTTCACGGACCACCAGTGTCCGCAGACCACCCGCTGGCGACCGCTGGTGCAGGTGACATGAGAGCAAGTCTATGAATCAGATTTTCTGTTTATTCTTTTTTTTTTTTTATTGATTTTTTTACAGAGAAGAAGGGAGAGAGATAGAGAGCTAGAAACGTCGATGAGAGAGAAACATCGACCAGCTGCCTTTTGCACCCCCCGTACCGGGGGTGTGCCCGCAACCAACGTACATGCCCTTGACCGGAATCGAACCTGGGACCTTTCAGTCCGCAGACCGACGCTCTACCGCTGAGCCAAACCGGTTTTGGCAGATTTTCTGTTTATTCTTCAGTCAGTTTAGTAATTTGTATGTTCCTATTCATTTGTGCATTTCACCTAGGTTACCTAATTTTTTTATGTATAATCATTCATATTATTCTCTTATACTATTAAAAAATTCTATAAGGAGATTGAATCAGTAATCAAAACCCTCCTGATAAAGAAAAGCCTAAGACCAGGCAATTTCACTGGTAAATTCTACAACATTTTAAAGAATTAACACTAATTCATTTAAAAATTCTCCAAAAAATAAAACAGAAGGAAATACTTAACTGATTCTATGAGGCCAGCATTACTCTGATACCAAACCAGATAAAGGAATCACAAGAAAACTATAGACCCATTTCCCTTCCACTTTCTCTAAAAAATCAATGGAAAAATGTCCCTGAGTGAGGATTAACAACAACAAAAAGGAAATAGTCTGGCATTTGTGGTAACTACAAAAGTAACTCATAACAGTCTTTCTTTTTAAAAAGAAGATTAAATATACTGGGCAAACTAAGCTTCTCTGTATCAATCTGAAATAAATATAAAATGTGCTGGAATTTGCAGACAGGCATCACTGGACCAACTCCATTCAACCCATATATTGTACAATAGACCTAAAATGGTTCAATTTGTTTTCAAGTTTAAAAATTTGCTTTATTTTTTATTTTGTATGGGTTCTGAACTCTGCTGCCTCTAAAGGTAGATGCTGATTTGAGGCAACTAATGCAATACTGCAGGGCTCCTCTGGGGCAGCTGGGATGAGATGCAGAGTGTCTTGAGATGAACCACTTCATAAGACATGCACTTCCAAGTCAAGGTCTGGAAAACCAAATACTACTTATTTTGTTTTGTTACCCTCACCAGAGAACACTTTCTCCATTGATTTTTTAAATATATATTTTATTGATTTTTTACAGAGAGGAAGGGAGAGGGACAGAGAGTTAGAAACATCGATGAGAGAGAATCATCGATCAGCTGCCTCTTGCACACCCCCTACTGGGGATGTGCCCACAACCAAGGTACATGCCCTTGACCGGAATCGAACCCGGGACCTTTCAGTCCGCAAGCTGACGTTCTATCCACTGAGCCAAACTGGTTTCGGCTCTCCATTGATTTTTAAAGAGAATAGAAGAGAGGGAGGGAGTGCCCTGACAGGGAATCGAACCTGAGACCTTTTGGTGTGTGTTGGGGGGAGGAGGGCGGCAAGGACACACTAACCACTGAGAAAACCAGCCAGGGCAAAACCAAATCATTTGAATGTATATCCAAGACAGAGCATTTGTTGGCTCTGTGTGCTGTGCCCATTTTTAAATGCTATTTTCAATCCCCCAAAAGTCACACAAATGAAACTACTTGTGATTTTTCTTTTTAGAATGCAGTCTTATTGCATGTATCCCTTAATTTACACAAAATGTTTCAGAAATTCGATTTACAGAGTAAGACAAATATCATGACCACAATTCAAATATTTCAGAAAACTAAGAGTATTTTAAGCCCGAGTGCTTTTAAAAATGAAAAACAAAAATATTCTTATTTTACACACATATTCATTCATTCTATTCAAGTTCTATGTATTTTACCAAGAGGAATTTGTGCTAGACCCAATATTGGATAGCTAGTTTTCTTCTTTATAAACCTTACTATAAGCCTGGAGTGCTTTGTATATGGGTTTGAAATTGGGGCTCTTGTTATAGTTACATAAAATTTACTAAAAAGAAAATTTCATTCTATGCAAGTGTAGAATAAGACCTTTCAATTCTAAAGGTTCACTTTCCCAAATGAATACAATATTTAGACTACTTTGACACTTCGTTAAAAGTAGTTGATGAAACATTAGCTGATATAAACACTTTTTCAGTGTACTATTAAAATTTTTAGAAAAAGTTTTATTATTAAATCAGATCATAGCTGACTCCTAAATTCGTTTGGTCTCAATCGCTTTCTCCATCAGTAGACTTAGATTTGGTGTATTGTGACTGAGGAAGTTGGTTTGTTAAAAAATAGGTCTCTAAAGAAGTGGGTAATTTAGGGTTAGTCTTTTACCAAATTAATGTGCAATTCTGCTTGCTATTCAGTAAGACCACATAAAAATTATTCTCAACTACCATTTCCCCAAAAATAAGACAGTGTCTTATATTAATTTTTTCTCCCAAATTTGTGCTAGGTCTTATTTTCAGGGGATGTCTTATCTTTCCATGCGCTAGGTCTTATTTTCGGAGGATGTCTTATTTTCGGGGAAACACAGTAGTATGTTTCTTATTCTGTATACTTTTTTTTTTTTTTTTTTTTTTTTTTTTTTTTTTTTTTTTTTTTTTTTTAGCTGAATTATCAAGCTGGCCTTTGAATTGTGGAATAAGCTAGGATAGAGCTTCTTGTTTTCATAGAAATGGCTGTTGTGGCCCACTAGGATGTGAGTGACAGAGTAATACTAGTGCCCATAGGACCAACTTTGGCATGAGGGAGTCATCCTCAAATTCCAGAAGCTCTGAGTGGTTAGTCAAAAGGCACAGACCACACACACCCCTATACGGTTTGGTGGGAAGTGGCAACAAGTCCTTTGCGGTTAAGGAGGTTAACTGGGAAGGGAAAGGAAGATAGCTCATAGCTGATTCCTACATTCATAATGGGCACATCTCTGGGAAAGCCCATGACAGAGACAAAGGTCACCTGATCCTAGTATCTTAGACCTAGACTTTAATGTTACTCATTCTGTCCAAAGTCACTGCTGGCAATTGAGCCAGAACAAAAACCTAGGGCCCCTGACTTCCATCCAGTTCTTTCCTGCTGTCACCACACCATCCAGCTGTCAACAGGAGAACATGTGAAATGGCATCTCATTTCAGTCCCTGAACTTATCAGCAAGTTAATGAAAATGAGACACTAATAATCTGGCAAAGACATTTTTAGTCATGTGTTCCACATTTTCTGCACCTTATGCAAGGTGCTTTTGGGGAGAAACTATCAATAAAGAACTGTGAAAAAACTCCAGGCCTTCCCTGTTAATTTTTCTAAATAACAAGATATTATTTTTGGCAAGTAAACAATTCAGTTCACATCTCAGAAGGAACATAGTTGGGGTACAGGGTAGGGTTAGGGATTTACACATATGCAAGTAAACAAGCAGTCAACTATTTTTAAATTTACCTAATCTGTTTGATGATTAGATGATCCATATTCTGATCTCAAAGGATGAAAGTAAGTTATTTCTATTTTGCCACCCACTGAATTAGGCATAATTTTAGCATAATTATATAGAGCTTGCTCTCTTCTAGGATGAGATATTAAAATTCCATGGAAGCTGAATGACATGACAATTTTACTGTCAAAAGGGTCATAAGAGGAACAATCATTTTATACTACCCTAGAGGCCTGGTGCATAAAATTTGTGCATGGGGTGGGGTTATCCCTCAGCCCAGCCTGCACCCTCTCCAATCTGGGACATCCCTCTCACAATCCAGGACTGCTGGCTCCCAACTGCTCACCTGCCTGCCTTCCTGATTGCCCTTAACCTCTCCCCTGCCAGCCTGATGGACACCTAACTTCTCCCCTGCCAGCCTGATTGCCCCTAACTGCCCTCCTCTGCAGGCCTGGACACCCCTAACTTCCTTCCCCTGCCAGCCTGGTCATACCAAACTGCCCTCCCCCCCACCTCGTAGGCCTGGTCACCCTTAACTGCCCTCCCCCATAGGCCTGGTCCCCTACAACTGCCCTCCCCCCTGCCAACCCAGTCACCCCTAACTGCCCTCCACTGCCAGCCTCATCATCCCTAACTGCTCTGCCCTGCTGATCTGGTCCCCCCTGGCAACTGCCCTCCCCTGCAGGCCTGAGTACCCCCAAACTGCCCTCCCTTGCAGGCTTGGTCCCTCCCAACTGTCCTCCCCTGCTGGCCATCTTGTGGTGGCCATCTTGT